GAAACCTCAAATAGATTAACCTCCCTATATGGTAATATGAAGGTAGAAAAATACAGGTCCCTCTGTTTTACTCCAAATCAACACACACACACACACAAAAAAAAGTCTCTATGTGCCAGTCTAGATGTAACTTTATTGGGTGATACAGTGTGGCCCTGTCCATGGTTTTGAGACATTAAAATTCTTGCTGTTTGTCTTATACTGTTGCAAAGAGTGAGCTTAAAAGAGGTATAATAATTAATAAGCCAACAGTATGTGATAGGATCTCAAGCTCTTTGTGATTTAATAATCACACCCAATTAATTAACTTGTAAAGTATGTGCTAACCATCAAATGTTCTACCTCAAAGCTTTAACAAGACTTGATCATAAAATTTTACTATCAATAGTCAAAATTATTTTACCAATTAAACAGGTTTGATTTCTTCGTTTGTCATGAAGTTAAAAGAACATGTTATGTAATAAATAAATAGTAATAGTAATAGTATATAAAAAGGAAAACACAAATCCTATTCCATTTCCCAGCCTCTTCTGACACCTTTTAGTCACCATTCCAAAGTATAAGGGGGCGGCCCTAAAGGCGATGACACATGCACCACTACATCTTCTCTCCTTTCCAACATTCCTCTGTTGTGCCCCCACCAAAAGTGCGGTGGTGGCCCAGTGATTGGATGGTGGGGATCCGCGGCTGGGTTGTAGGGGTACACATCCATGCACATTTAGGAGTAGTGCTTTTTTTATCTCCCCGGTTTTCCTTGACTACTGATTAATGTTGGAAAATCTCAATTGGGTTTTCATTTTCAACGTCTTTCCGTGCTTATACTAATATAATATTATTAAAGAAATAATAAAAAAATTCATATGTCTTCTACAGATGTTTTACCTTATTTTTTTTATATTTTATATTGATTATGTTTTATAAATATTGATTGATATGTACCGTTCAACCGATGTTCAGAATATGATTTGATTTGAATATCTCTTGATTTCGAAGAAATTTAGAACATGAGGTACATGCATACGAATCCTCCAAACGAAAAATGGTTGGATTGCATCTGGAACTGCTGATTAGGAAATAAAGTTTTGTTTGCTTTTTCATCTGATTTGTTTGCAACATGGAGTTTTAATCAACTCAGACGTATTAGGATAATAAAAATCAATTATAAGAGATTAATCACTCCCATTTTATGTGCGAGACATCAATAATTGTTCTTGCCAAACAACGATAACACTGAAAAACAAAAATTCCAACTGGAGGTTTTATTTATACATTTGTCCTACGTTGTTTCCGATCAATTATTGATCATCCATCGTCTTATCGGTATTCATTATTTAGCATCACCATACATCTTAATGGGATGTCAACATAATATGAATATTTGATAGTAAGGTTTCGATCAGATCCCACCTTCACACTTACCCCTTTTATCAGAGAAAGATGTAAGAATTCTATTGTGTTTTTTCTTATTCCATTACTCAAAAGCATTTGATTTAACTTGAAAGAATGGATTTGACAGACACATGTCTTTTTAAATCAATTAAAGATTAAACAATAAATTACTAATGACGTAAATTATGAGAGGTGGAATCCCCATTTTTAATACTAAATTATTCTGAACATTAGCATTCTATTTTAATCTACCAAGAACATCCAAGTAGATTAATTCAAATGAAGTAACTTGTGGTAATTTAGGACGCAATTGATCCAATAATATTCTCTGAGCCCATGAACACCATTAAATTCCCTGTCTAAGAATCTAACTAGTAACATTTGACTGCCTCATTTGTACTATTTATTTTTTTCATGATCATATACATGGCAGTCAAACATCCCCCGAGAACAAGCAACCTCGTGTCCCACACGGCAGGCAACTCGGTCATCACTACGTACCTAATGAGGTCACAGCTAAAATTTCCCCACCTCATCAATCTCTATCAATCAAGCACTACATAATTAATCTATGTGATGAGGACAACAAAGGAGTCTAAAGTTCTCATTTTCTGGGTGAAAACATATACTATGTTTTGTTGTTTCTTGGTTCAAAGTCTAAAAATATGGATGGCACATACTTTTTACCGATGAGGAATCACTCACAGTTTTGTGAGGGTAGATACATGGGTGGCCCCAATGTCTGGTGGCTCTGTAAAAGAATAACAAGCAACATTTTAGTTCTACCAATTGGAAGTATCAAGCAACACGGATATGTACTTGTGAAGAAAATAATGGGGACATAAAAAATGCAAGAATTTTTAGGTCATTTGGTGTTTCTCATGTGTGCATGATATGTAGTCCAAATTTGTGATCAAAATTTATATTTCTACGACCATTCAAACAATAGAAGCCATATAAATGATCCCATTTGGTATTTTCCTACGAAGCCATCTTCAGATAATCACTTCCAAGCAACCAAACTTGGTCAATTCTTGTTTCAGTCTTTTTGACAAATAGACACTATATTTTCTTTCCAAGAAACACATGCTTCCCTATCTACTACTCTACCGGGAAAAGCATAAATAAATCTAGTTTCATATCTGCCTCTTAACTTCTCTTACCATCTGCTAAACTTTTTTAACACTTTAATTCCGGTGCTTTTTAAATCAGAAGAAACCACCCAATCCAACTTTGTCCCCCTTTACCTTTTGTTCTTTGATGGAAGTCATTTAACACAAATTGATGGTTTGTTGAACTACTAGAAAAAAACATGCAGAGACGCCGACACAAACTGTTAAACATGGACTATGTTAAGATTTCTGACAAGAATAACTTATATATCTGTAAATATTCTCTAAATAGAAAAAGGTTTAGATAACTTTGGACTATCAATGATAATATTTTAAACTAACTCAATTTGTGGACAGCCATATCCAGTTTGTTCTTAAACTAATTCGATTTCAAAAGAGAAGATTGATCCCATCTATGTGAATGCAAGAAACTTGGATGAGAATGCCTTGTGGGTCAAACTTGAAAAGAAGTATTATTCTTTTTCAGCAGTTGGAAAAGACTAAGCTAGAAGGTTTGTTTGGATACTAATTTAATCAAGCAGTAAGAAAAATGTACACTATAAAATTCTGTCGGGCTCCTCACCTCCTTCATGACGTGATGTAGACTACCGACTTTCTTCTTGCACCAACAGGGTTTTTCCTGCTGATAATGTCATTATGTTGGTAGGTCTCCTTGTTCATCAAATCCTTCATGCATGGGCTTCAAAGCACTGCTTGTTGAAACTGCACCACCTGCCAAAAGATTAAGTGCCACTTTACATGTGCTGGGGATGCATTGGACCGTTTAATTTTTTAACCTTGCATGTGACCTTTCACATGCAAGATTTGTCCTTAATTTGGTCTACAAAGCAACCTTGTTGCGTATCTGATGACATCTTAAGCTTTCACTTTATCCACAGAAGGTGCTTGGAACAGAGAAGGAAAGTTCATGAAGGAATAAAACATTGATATGTATACTTGTAGCCCACTGAAGAAAATAATGAAACTGAGGGTGGTAGGTGTCACCTGTGAAGTGGTTGGTGGACTAACCAGGAGCACAGGAAACGTGGAAGAATCCTCTCCAGATAATAATCTCAGCTGCATGGAATATAATGTTTCTCATAATCTGCTCACTGGAACATGGAAATGGTGATGCCCCCCCTCATGTCCCTTTTTCGAATGTTAGACTGCTGATCTGTGGTCTATTTGGCAAAAGAAAAAGATCAAGTTTTTTGTTCTTGGGTGTCCATCATTGAGCCGAAGGAGGATTATAATCTCCCTAGCTGACTTGGACTTGTTCTTGTGTTTGTTTAATTTTATAGGTTTGCGAGGAGTTGAAGTATTTACTCTTGGCCTTTGCTTGATCAATAAAGAAGATTTCATGTTTTAAGTCTTTTGCTTAAAAAAAGATTTTTTTTGGAAATTAAGGATCGAATATTGTATAAATATGCACTTTGAGAGACTTCTAATGAGTTTTAAACTGTCTTGCTACTGAGTTTGAACCAAGGACTTCTAAGTCAAGAGAGAATTTATCTATTACTATGATTATTCTCACACAATGAATAATATAGTTTACTATCACTTAACGTAAGCAAAGTCTATGGAACCACATAAATTTTTTTATTTATTAATACTTTTCTTGATTTGTTTTTTTTCATAATTTGAGCATATCTTCTATCACATATAAGTCATGAACAATTGGTTCTATTGATGACTTGCTGGGGGATGAAGTCCTCACTCTGTTGTTTTGCCTCTGATGGGAGAACAGTTGAATCTTGAGACCTTTGATCTTGCGTAGTCTGTAAATTTTGTATGTTCTTTTGTTTAACTAATAAATTGATAAATAATTCATATTTTCCTCAGAAAAAACATGAAAACTACATGAATGTTTTCTGACAACATCTTAATTATGACCTGCTGTCAGGCTAAACAAAGAATAATTGGTCTTCTGAAATTTCTGCAGATTTAAAACAAACTTGAAATGACTAAATTTATTTTAATGAGAAATATCTATACCTAAGACATAAAGGCTACCTAAGAAAAAAAGGATGTTTATGGAATGAGTGGTGCAACAATTTTGCCTGTTGAAAGCCTACTTAGAACATTTTCATGAGCATGAGGATGTCTTAGCATTGCTGAATGGCAGATCTGGCTCTCTTCCTACACTGAGAATCCTTAGCAGGTCATTTGTATGTCAAAGTTAATTAAGATTCCAAGGAAAAAAAAAAGAAATATGTATATCAAATAGCATTACAGCTTCCTTTTTAACCATATATATATTCTAGGCAAAATTATATATATCCCTCCAAAGTCAGTGATTTCTATATTAGTTTCACTATTTTAGGTTCAGCATATATATATATATATATATATATATATATATACAAATTTTAATTAGCATACGCGAGGTTAGATAACATTTAATACTTTCCATTAGTGTTCATTGAGAAATCTCATATTATTGGCTAATTATGATTGAAATAAATTGTTTCAGTTAAAAAATGTTTAGGAGTTCATAAAGATTACTCTTGGGTTAAGTTTCAACTAACAATCAAATGAGAGTCAACTAAGGGTATATATGTATATATATACATATATATATATACATATATATATATATACATATATATATATGTATATGTATATATATATATATGTATATATATATATGTATACGTATATATATATATATATGTATATATATATATGTATATATATATGTATGTATATATATGTATGTATATATATATATGTATATATATATATGTATATGTATATATATGTATATGTATATGTATATATATATATATATATATATATATATATACATATATATATATAT